CAATTTTATTTTTAAATTTTACTTAATTAAATAAAACTTCATTTTACTTGATCCCAATCATTTTCAAGTTTTTTTAAATTAAATTTAATAAAAAATTTAAATTTAACATACATACATTTTTTTTTTTAAATTATACTTATTTAAATGAATTTATTTTTACTTCATTTCATCATTTTTATTTATTTTTTTTTAATTATATATATATTTTTAATTTTATTTAATTAAATAAAACTTGATTTTACTTAATTCCAATCATTTTCATGTTTTTTTTTTTAATTATATATATATTTTTAATTTTATTTAATTAAATAAAACTTGATTTTACTTAATTCCAATCATTTTCATGTTTTTTTTTTAATTATATTTAATAAAAAATTTAAATTTAATTTACATCAAATTTGTTAAATTTTACTTAATCGAACAAAAGTTAATTTAACTTCATTTCAATCATTTTTATGTATTTTTTTATTATATATAACTAAAATATATTAATTTAATTCATTTAATTTTTTTTTGAATTTTATTTAATTAAATAAAACTTGATTTTACTTGATTCCAATCATTTTCAATTTTCCTTTCCTCCGAGTGTATTTCTCAGATGAACTGAAAGCTCCAAATGAAAAACCTTCGCGCATTCGTAGGTGGCTTAGAATTAATTGTAACTTACTTCATTTGTTGGAAAAAGTGTCATGACGTCTACTGTAAATCGCTTCGGCAGTTAGAAAACTTCAATCAAAAATAAGTATATATATATATAAATATATAAATATATATATAAATATATATATATAAATATATATATAACTCAATATCCACCACCAACCATGTTACATCGAAATTATATTGAATTTTCCACAAATTCCAATTACGTTGCAGTCAATCAAAAATCACAAAAGCCCAATCACATAAACATTTTAGAATACATATCGATGTATGTACATGTGTGTTGGTGAAAGCACGCAAACACATGCTGTAAGTTAAACAAAACTTTTTTTTCACACATCGTTAACATCACATCTCACCTTTTAAGTGAATATGTCCTAAATATTTCCCCCTTTAAAGTCAACACCGAACATTTGCTGAATTTATTGTGTCTTAAGAGAAAACATTGGAAAAAAATATCGAAAAGACTCTAGCAAGTCGCCTACAATGTTTGCCTGTACATCTAATTTTCCATCTAAACGTTATTATGGAACTTCTATACGCTGCCGTGGGCTTCTTGCGCTGCTTTGTCAACCGGATGCTTTGCGTGAAAATTCATCGACCATAAGTTGAAGGATGAAGACGTTCCTACTTCCTGTACAGCAAAAGGCACTCACAGAAAGTGCGTCGCTGAAAAAGGTGCACATTTGCTTGTGTGTATATACATATATATACAACATTTCAGGTGGTTACTCACATATTTATGTATATTTTTTAAAATTTGTGTGTGCACTAAAGCTGTTGGCTGTCGATTTTAAAATTTATGTGAAGTCTGTTAAATTTATTTCGCTCGATTGAGTTCTTTTGCGTTTGTAAGTTCAAAATGCACACACTCACACGCACAAACACGGAAACAGTCAAAAGTGCAAAGGTAAGTTTTTGAGTTCAAAGAAAATCAGTAAAATGTACATATTTTATATATATATTTTTTCATACATATACAAACATATATTTATGTAAATAAATTTATTATTAGCCCACCTAAGGCTCTATTGAAATTGATTTATTTATGCACGCGCATTTTATTATTCACATTTTAAGGCGAATAATTCAAATGGATTGGCGAAAAAATATAAATATTTTCTACATATTGAAATTTACGGTTCTCTGCCAGCTTTGAATGGCAAAAATGGAATTTGTTTATTTATATCTAATACATCTTTCAATATCTCTCTAAAGGATGGAATATATATTATTTTTATTTTTGAAAATTTATATGTGATGTGGAAAATAATTTAAGTTTATTTTGGAAAAAGCGTTACTTACTCTGCTTACACTTTTAAGTTGTAGAAAAAATGTGTGTTTTCGAAAAAAGCGTTCTTTAAACCATTGATTATTTAATAATAAATTATTTTATTTTTTAATTAAATTGAAACACAAACACCTATTATAGGTGACCATAGAGGTGTTGAGTATTTTATGTAAGATAGGTAGAGTACAGTATTTTGGGCTCAACCATGCCAATCAAGGTTTGGTACCTCACTCAGACAAAGTGGTTTATGTCTGTGATAGAGCTAGGCCTTCACATAAATCTTTAGTTCTTGTTTTAATATACTTGAGGCATTATCAGCTTCGATATCTTGCAAATGGTTAATGATTTCCAGTTGATTTGAGCAATTTCCTCTCTCTCTTGATCGCGTCGGTTTATTTAGAGCTGTTATAAACTGTTTCAGGATATTGCTATGTCCGTAATTCCAGCAATCCAGCTCCTTAATTCTTAAAGCATAACATCTTATTATACTTTACAAATGACCATCAGCCTGTATATCTGTATATCTGTATATCTGTATTCTGTATCTCTGTATTCCATTTAGTTTATATGATAATTTGTTGTTTTTCTACTGCTGGGCTTCTAGCCGACGCTCAATATAATAATACTAAGATTGGTCTAATGACTGCTGCATACATCCAAAGATTAAATTTGATTTTGGATTCCAGTTCCCGGTAATCTCTGGCAAGTGCAGTAATCAAGCTAACTTTTCACTGTCTGTTTTTCAGTTCACTATCGTCACGATCTTTACTGCTCTCGAATAATTAGCTGTTGAGGATAGAGATATTGTTGTGCCCCGAGTGTAGGAAGCTGAATAATCTCTCTGTTAATTAGAATTGATTTTATCCACCTACGCACCAGGTCGTGTATACCTCCATGTAACAGGAAGCGAATGATAGTACTTATCTTTATATTATTAAGCCTTTTGCAATATACCATAACATTTTCCAGAATTTCTACTGTACAAAGTTGGAGAAGAACTGAAAGTGCGATTATTTCATTTCTTTGCTGTAAAAAATTGCAAAATACTTAAAAGTTGTTAGAAAAAATACGACAAAATGGTTATGCCGCTTCAAATTTGAATCAGCACCGAGTGAAAAGTATACAAAAGCAAATTCATTATCAAACTGGGTTTGAGTGGTAAAAACCACGACTGGAGTTAAATAAAAAATGGAAGAACATCACCAACCACTTTAATCATTCCACGAAACTTACATTGATCTAAGGCCAGTTAACCGAATCCAGGTTACGTTTAAGTCCAATTCAGTACGTGTTTATTCGTGTTAAGCCCGGTGGAGCCTCAAAATATTTGCGCTATAAAATTGTCCCAAAAAAGGGAGATTCAATTTTTTTAAATTAATTTTGTCTCTAAAAATATCCATATTTTTGTTGTTGTAACCGCAAAAATAGTCTCCAAAAATTTTTATGCAATAAACACAATATCTTAAGTTGACTACAGATTTCTTTAAATTATGTACATTATTTTTCGTAAATGTGAAATATACATTGCTAGCACATCTTTACCGCATGTTTAGATACTAGAATTAAAGGAACTAATTTTTTTCCAAATTTTTTAATGCGTTAAGTTACATATATATATATATATATATAGTTTAAACAAAGTCAGTGTAACTCATTTGTAGCATCTTTATTCTCAATGAGTATTTCTTACTGCACCACGGCGTATACGCAACTTCCTGGCAATAACACACATTTGCTTAGGTTTTATATATTTTCATATTTATGTATCTGTAGCTATTTCATAGCGTTGGCTTCAAGAGTTTTTCTTCATTCACTTTCAATCCGTACTGTTAAGCATTAGTTCTCTTTATCAAATATGTACAACAAAGGAATGGAAAACTCGTTGCTAAATATTTATTTATATTTCATGGAAAACTGTGTAAATGAAAAGCTACAAGTAATATTTATTCAATATACATTAAAAAAGAAAAGTTAATAAATAATTTTCGCAATAAACGTTTTCACACGAGTGCGCTAGTGGACTTTTTCAAAGTGCAACTTCATTATCCGTCAGCATACTTCAACTACCCAGTAGGAAAATGAAAACTTTTCAATCATTTATTATGCCTACTGATGATATGATCCAATGCTTAGTATGAAAACTTTTACTTTTTTTTTTGTGCAATAATGGAGGACTTAGAGATGCCAAACTGCTTCCTGACTGTTTTAAAACATGTTTCTAGAAGGCGAAGAAAAACTTCCAGTGATAAAGGTTTGTCTTATAGAAGGGAAAATAGAAAGAGAAAGGGAAGTAAATCGGTTCATTTTTATAAATATGGCTCAAAACTATATTCGTGTACCGGTTCCCTGTAGCATTTTCCAGGTGGAACTGCCGTCGATACATGAAGCTGTCATTTCTCTATCAATGTTTCTATTTGTTAAGTGGAGTCTGGTACATTTAAGACGAAAATAGCAGGAGTTACTTCTGAACCTAGCAAAGATGTCTGGAGACAATAACCTACCGAATAAAGAGATGGCAAACGAGCTTGCAAGGAAAGCCATTACCCTTCCGCAAGCGATATCTTTGGAATTCGTAGAGAAGGAACACGAACCTGACATCTTAAAGCAATTCATTCGCGAGGAGCAGTAGACTGAACTTTCTAAGGGTGACAACCTTTTCAGACTACAGCGAGTTATGGGATCCGCGATATATTGATTGGGGGTAAACTCCACTCATTGGTTTAACTGTCCGATTCTCAGTGTTATCAAATTCAATATGCTGAAGCGTGGCAACCTAAGTATTTGGTCAGCTTTGAAGCAATATTAATTACTCTGTTATACAATCCAACCCAAGGAACAGCCTTTCAGAGGAATTCGTAAAAGAAACAAAATAATTTCAAATTTGCGCTCCCAGTTGTAAGAGAAGTTAGCAAACAATAATAAATATTTTCACTTCCGAGATTGATTTGCTGATGGGTTTCTTTTGCTCGCACTACACTACTACTCACACTATTATACTCTCTGCATCACTCTCACTCTCATTCTCTTTCTACTTTTGCTGGCTTACCTTGGTATTTGCAATGCGATTTCATCGAGGCTGTCGGACGGGCTCATCGGTGTCTTTTCAAAGAGGCGTGACGGCGCCAGCGTGAGATGGCCCGTTGAGTCGCTGACGCAGCGAAACACTTTGGCGCCGCGTCGCTGTCGCTGCTGTTGACGTTGACGTTCCACGCGTTTTTTACGTTTACTCTCCTCAGCGCGCTGGAGATTATGCAAGCGAAAGAAGAACATTGACATTTCTGTATATTTGTATGTGTGTGTGTGCATGTGTTTTTGTATATATATGTTGACGTTGTTTTTGTTGTTGTTGTTGTCGGTGTTAGTATGGCAAGATGTGGTTTTAGTTGATGGAGTTTGTTAGCGCACGTGTGCGTACAGTTGTGTTGTGTTGTGGTTGTTGTTGTTATTATTGTTGTTATTGTTGTTTACGTGGTGTTGCATGCGTTTGCAGTGATAAGTGAAATATAATTTTTTTTTTCAATTTTGTTATGTTGTTAAACGCATTTTTTGTTGTTGTGAATGCAGCGTTAGATTTATTATTTTATGAAATGTTGCATATTTTTCATCGAATTTTCATATATTTTTTTTGCAGTGTAATGCGATTTCATTGCGTTGATTGGTTGTTTATTTATTTGATGAATATATTTTTTTTTTGTAAACATATTTTTTTTACAATTTTCCAATTGACAATAAGCGCATTTAATTTATTGATGGCACGTATTTTTGTTTGTGTAGTAATAAATATGTTATTTTCATTTTGTTTTTTTTTTTCAATTTGTTGTTGATGGCATAAAAAGCAGATGAATTGTTAAAATACCACGCAATTTACACAGCATAATTATATATATGTATGTGTATATATGTAAGTTTATGCACAAAATCGGGAAAAAAGAAATTACGATATTTGATGGATTATGTATGTCACATAAATTTGTAATTAGTTGGGTATTGTTATTTTTACAAAAGTGCAAAAATTTTGATAAAATTAAATTTGGCTTGTCAACTTTTGGGAGTTTGCGATTGATTTAATTTGATTTAATTTGAATTATACTCCATATTTCGATGGCAAAACATTTTATGTACACATTTGTTTTAAAATAATTTAATAACACTTCATTAGAATTTTAAATGAGCGACTGTGTTTCCAATTGTGGTAATTGGCATGCAAGCAAGCAGATGTGTGTGTTAATAAAAATATTTAAAAAACATTGGAAAATTTGATCCAATAATTATTGTGCTATTATGAACATTTTTTAGTTCTATTGTAAAGCAAATGACAGATGTTGGTGGCTTGATCTCGGTGCTACATAACAAACAATAATTATGATATTAACTTAAATACCTGAATTATTTTTTTTTCTTTTCTATTACTTACTCCATTTGATTCAATTTACTTAATAATTTTCATCTAACTTTAATAGGTTAGATATAATTTAATTAAGTTTGACTCAATATAATTAAGCAAATGATCATTTATTTCTCTTTTAAACTATTTTAATTTAAAAACTTTTATTTATTTCACTTCATTTTATTTAATTTTTCATTTCCCCTTTAATTTATTTTTGATTGAATATAAGTAACAATGATAATATTTTTTTTATTTCATTTAGTTTCATTGAACATAAATTTATAATTATTTGGACTTATTTAATTTTTCTTCATTATTTTATCTCATCGAATTTATATATTTTATTTTTGTTTATTTTATTTTGTCTTATTTTATTTTATTTTGGTTTCTTTTCATTGTAATAAATTGTTGTTTATTTTATTATATTTCATTTTATTTCAGTTTATTAATTTTTCGATTTTAATAATTTTTTTTTTACTTTTCGTTTCATTTTTGTTATTGAATATTAAATTGTTCTATTCTACTTTATTTCATAATATTTAGTTTAACTTTATATTAATTTATTTTTCGTTATAATTTTTTTTAGTTTTATTCTATTTTATTTTATTTTTTATTTTATTTTATTTAACTTTAAATTAAATTAGTTAATTTATGCTATTTTATTTTTTTTTAATTTTATTTTATTTTATTTTATTTCATTTTATTTTATTTTTTTCTATTTTATTTTATTTTATTTTATTTTATTTTATTTTATTTTATTTTATTTTATTTTATTTTATTTTATTTTATTTTATTTTATTTTATTTTACTTTATGTTATTTTATTTTATTATATTTTAATTTAGTTTATCTCATTTCGATTCATTTATTTTATTTTGATAAATTTTAGTTTGTTAATTTCATTTTATCCGCTCTTTATTATTACAATTTTTTTTTAATATTCAATTAGAATTAATTTCGTGCAGCTTAACAAAATCCTTTCATTACCCATACAAAAAGCTGCATATTTTGTGAAATCCTGCTCACGAACCAAGTTGATTAATTAACAGTCAGCAAGGCGCCAAAATGCACAAATCAGTGCATGTCTGACATGTGATGCACTCAAATTAATTCTATGATTACCAATGAAATGGCAACCCGGTTGGAATTTGTCACAAAATTGTAATTCGAAAATGTTTTCAATTATTTCACTGATAATTTTAGCGCAGATTTTTGCTTTACATTTTGCGATTTGTACACAGGGTATTCGGAATGTCATATATACCTCTCTGTGGTGGAGGATAATTGTACAACACTCGCGTGATTGTGGCAGTTTGCTACAGAAAATTCATTTCAAGCGATTGCTGACCTAAATTCAGATAAATTTTGCAATTTCGATATTGAAAATAACTAAATATATATTAAATTGAATGTGCCTAATAGGCATAGGTAGTGTATTTATTACATTATGGATAAAAAGGACCAAAACAGTACATCGAATTGAGATTTAAGGTTTTTAAAAGACAAATTTTTTATTTCTGAAACTGATTAATAGTCAAAGTGTTCACCTAATTTTATTTATAGGCACAAGATTAATTTATTTATGAAATATTGCTAACACAAGAAAATTTTGATAAAACCAGTTTCTTAGAATGAATATAATTTATTATTTGTTATTAAGTTTATGGAGTGAACAAATATTTCAGCTAAAATCAGGGCAAATTACTGGGCATTTATTCTCTAAATTAAAGCAAAATTAACAAAGTCATAAATAAATAATATGAAGAAAATATGCAGTATGTACATAACTGTACCACTCAATGTTGTAATATTTTCCCAATAATACGACATGTCATGACGTATACGTAACATTCGTGAGCAAGGCACTTGTAATCAACTGAAAGTGTGGAGTGGATGCTTGCCAAAAACAAAAGAAAAAAACATAAATATATATATCCAAATAATAGAATTTTATTCAATTGCTACATAACAAGTTCACTTATTTTAATACATTTTTGTTTCAAAATAAATTTAAGTGTTGTAACTGGCTTATAAAGTCACAGTCGCACTATACTATATTCTATATGTGTAAAACTACGAAATACCAATTGTCCAAATATGCATCAACTAGCCAGGTAATAGTTCATTCGTGCACATTGAACATTTTTTTTACTACGATTCCAATGCCTGCCAGAGACAACTCCTAAATGCTGTTGTATGAAAAGTATTGACGTTAAGATTTTAAGGCAGAAAGACACTCAAAAGGTTTGACTTTCCCAGCCGAGGGGCATCGATAATTAGAAAAATTAGTTTTCCAAAATGTTGAATGTTGCTCAGACTCAGGCTACTGCAACCGACATTGACATCTAATATTTTGTGAATTCAATGCGTCAAATTATGCAGAAATGGTCTTAAATCAATTTAATCTATAACAGTTCATATGTTAAATTGTTAAAACACTCATAACTGAAAATGAAGTCCCAAAGGATTCTTGTTCCAACACTATAAGGCCCACTTAAAGGGTTATTCATTTTGTGGTCTTAAAAGTACCATAGTATTTAAAAATTAGGATTTACTAAAATGGTTCGCTTACAAGTGCGTTAAAATTGTTAAAATCACCACATAATAGGGAATTCAGAGGTGGTCACGATTCGTGCTTTGAGAGGTGATTATAGTTGAAGAGCTTGAAATCGGGTACAGATATTGTAATGCACAAGCCTTATCATTTTGCTCGTTTCATTAGGTTTTGCGACCCACCACAAGAAAAGTAAACTCCAATCAAAAATCGTGTTATGCCTCAGATGAGAGCCCCCCTTTCGGCGACGAACCCTGCAAATGTTTTAGCGATTACGATTTTAGGGCATGCACATGGAATTGATTGACCCAAGACCTGTATCGACTCGGATCACTAAGAGAAAACAGACTGCCTACCTCGACAGACTGCGATGCTCGAAAATTCTACGAAAAGATACGGCTACTTACAGAAGTTTTCTAGACCGGAGCAGACCCTTATAGGACACAAAGAGGTTATCTAGCCACTGATGCCCACAGTATATTAAATTAATGGAGGGAACACTTCTCCAGTTTGCTGAATGTCAGTCAAAATGAAACACCCGGAGATGGAGAACCCGAAATTCCAATTGATGACGATGAAAAAATGTTCCGTTGCTCTAGTATAAAGAAGTCCCAATAGCAATCGCCCACCTAAAGAACAACAAAGCGGTCCTGTCGAGCGTACTGTGTGAAAGACTGAGGCACACCGTCAACAAACTGATTGGACCTTATCAGCGTGGCTTCAGTCCATGTAAGTCAACCATTGACTATATATTCACTATGTGCCAAATCTTTGAAAATACCCGTGAAAAGAGGATCGATAGACACCACCTCTTCGTCGATTTTAAAGCAATCTTCGATAGCACGTGATAGCCGTTCGATGCCAAACTGGGTTCAGACAGTAGATTCCTTGCCGTGTGATTGCTTTAATTTAGTACTAAAAAAAAATAATACAAACTACAGAGATGAATAAGGAAGGCAAAATCTTTCTTTTTTGGCCTCAATAACCGCGCTGTAGGCTCTGCTTTCTCTAGACTTAAGCAAAGCAAATAGGTCTGGTAGTGAATGAGGGCAAAACGAAATGTATCCTATCAGCAAACAAATTCTCATCGCATTCGCATTCCGGGTCCCGCGTCACTATTGACAGTCGTAGATAATTTCCTATATCTGGGCACCAGCCTCAACAGTAATAATAATGTCAGCCTTGAAATCCAACGCAGAATCATTCTTGGCAACAGATGCTACTTTTTACTGAGCAGGCAATTGAAAAGTAAAGTCTTCTTTCGACGAACGAAGACTAAAGTCTAGATGTCGCTCATCTT